TTCTGTCGTTTCACTCTAGTAATAATTACACATGATAATGCTCAGGATATAGAAATTATATATCGCCACATGCTTAGTTAAATTCATGACTTCCACAGTAATAATAAATTCCTCATGGACATTCATGTTTAAAACACATGTTGAATGCAATTTGCAACCAATGTGTGGTGGGCAGACCCGTGTATCTGCAACACACACTTTGCTAGCTCCAATGTCCCAGCCACAGCTGCCTTCTGCTTTCCATTGTGCAGACAATTTGCAACTCTAAGCAGAAACATGAACTCCTTTGCTATGGTTCACTGGCAATTTCAGCATTATATTTATACAGCAAGCAGACTGACAACTGAAACTCCTGAAGAAAGAGACAGGATATGGGACTCTGGCTTCTTTAAAAAGACAGTTTTGGCAAATTATAACAAATTTTTCTCTTCTATTAGTCAATTGAAATAGCAATAAGGCATGAGAAAAACTTACGTACTCTTATGGGCAAAGCATGGTAAGATTTCATATGGCTCACAAGCTTTAAAGAAACATATGATCCTCACATGCAACATAAGTTTGGTTACCACATCTCCAAAATGTGAAATAAACTGTGCCCATAAAATACTTTTGCACTAATTCTTTGAAATGCAAGTCTTTGGAGCTGCCACATTGCTCATTTTGCCTACAGCATCTTTTTAAATGGCAAACCTCACCATTCAGAGGTTATGAGACAAGTTCAGGAGCCTAGGTTAACAACCATGACATTTTATAAAGTTTTATTTGGGTTATCTGTATTAGGATTTAAGGCCCACTTTCTCAGGCTTTTTTTTTTTTTTTTTTTTTTTTTGTTAATGCAACAAAGAACAGAAGAAACTTATTAGAATTCTCCCATAAGCTTTGAAATGAAAGAGTTACTTATCATGGAATTTTTTGAAGTGTTACTTTTATTTAAAAAAATATTAACTATTATAAGGTCCAAAGTAAAAGCCTGAAATATGTGCAGAATTTTTTTTGGATCACAGAACTGGTTGGCGATTTCACTGACTTCTGTAAAAGCTTGCTCAGTAGCTAAAATATGATTTGTATTTGATATCTTTGTAAATTGGGGAGATCTGCCAGTTACTGTTGGAATATCTGCATGATGCAGGGCCTATCATTATTTACACAGACATCTGGTAATTCGATGGGAACGCCACAGAGTAGCAGTCAACTACTTGACGGTACCATTCACGTTATGCAGGTATGATAGATAAGCATATCTGCCTCTACTTGTCACAAATCAAACTGTCTAAAATTGAGAACCGTATAGTAGAGACTGGTTTATGCAAACTGCCATTTTTTTCAGACTAATCCCCACATCTTTTAATTTCTATGTGTGAGCTAGAATGTAACATTCCCATGGTAATGGATCCTGCTTTGTAAAATCTGGCTTACAATATCATTGTGCTTGAAAATGGTCAAGAACAGTGAGGGAGCTGTAAATGAGGAGAGATTTAATAGCAGAAAAGTGAAGAAACAGATGGACTTGTGAATGAGGCATTGAGAACAGGAGTAGGAGTGTTGGCTTCTAATGTTTTGTTAACCATGTACATGTCAGTATAATTGTGAATCTTCGGCTTTCAAATTCTTTAGAAAAGTCTTCTTGCTTACTGAAACAGGGAAGGAAAACTATCTCGTAAATGAACTTTGAACTGTTTAGAAAACTTTTAGCTTAACTCATTTCCTCTTAATATTACAAAGACACAAACTTACTGCTACTTTTCAGTTAAACTTTTTAAAATATCGTCTTAATGTCAAAGTAATAATATCTTAAATGAAGAGTTTTATTTTACCCCTATGTGATTTCCTCTCCAGAGGAAAGTACATAGAATTTATTACAGAAGACCCTTTCTGTCCTTTGGGTGATTTTAATGATAAAGAAAATGCTCTTTTTAATGCCCAAGGAAAATGTCAATTCCTCTTAAGAGATTGCCAGGGGAATTGAGATGACAAGCTGTGGCGTAGTAATCTACAATCTCACTAATGCTTTGTATGCTAAAGATGTGATTAGAATTCAAAATTTCTGATGCATCTTTGAATGCAAAACCTTCTTGGATCAGATACTGAATTTTCTACTAAAGATGGGGACAGAAGTGTAGAACTACTACATCCATTCAGCACAGAAAGCTAGAGAAAAATGAACTGGACTGTTTTTTAACCAAGCTGTGATTTTGCTAATTACACATACAGTTTACGTATATGCTCTGTTACTTTATACTTTGAATGGAGAAAATCTGCTACACAGCATTCCCTGTGAAGCCCTTTCCTACAGTGCTCTTTGGTGAGTATCAAGTTGTTCCCTAAATTTAGGTACATGTTTAAATTCTTTACATGAAACCATTAGATAGCATCTGCACCAAACCCACAAGAGGTTGGTGAAAAAAAGAGAACTGTCAAAGTTGTTTCTATTCCAACTTTTCAATCCAGAGCTAAGGCCTTCATTCTTTTTTTTTTTTTTTTTTTAAACACATTTCATGCATTAAAAAAAGAAACAAAAACAGAAACAAGCTCAAAGACTTCTATTAACCCCCCCAAAAAATTTCTGATAACTCTTTCATAACAATTCTCATTTAAATTTTGCCTAAAAATCAGTGCTTTTTGTGAAACACCACTAGTATTTACTTCTGTTGAATCATGTTGAATATATTTTTTTTAATAATATTTTTCAAAGACAAGCGAGTCTGGAGAAGTAAATCAGGCTGTTCATTATGCACATTTTGCAGCCAAACAAGAAGAGTCAAGTGTATTTAAAATTAGCCTAGCAGCAGTTGTTTGGATCTCACCAAAAATTTTTGCAAATCACAATCTGTTGGGGCATTTATTCGTATGTGGTACTGCTTATTGCTCACACAGACATCCTAAGCTGAAGCTGGTCATGGCTAACAGTGGTGTTGAGCACAGAGCTCAAACAAGGTTGCCTATCAACTCCAGGACCATGGCAGCTGCTCACAGAGAGCTTGCCATATGGTCAGCAAAGTGCAACTCTGAGGAGCTTGAGGAAGAGTCTGTGTTTGTGCAGCTTGGCTGAGGGAAGTCCTCTGCTGGTGATTAAAATGCACGAATAGGAAAGGAAAAGCTGGAGTGCATCAAACTCACATAACCTGTTTAAACCTCTTCTAGTGAGTTATACCAAAATAGCTGCAGCTATTAAGCTATTTAATCTATGGCTTCAAACTGCAGCCAAAAACTTCAGGGCTTGGTAAAATGGGGGCTCACAAGTTAAACAAGGTATTCTAGAGGAGTCAGGAATGCCTTAACCTCCATAAAAATGAACATCTGTGTTTAGCACAAACAAACAAGACCGACTTCTCTCATTAAGAAACCATAGATTGTTGTATGTTCAGCTTTGAGTCTACTGTTCAGGCACACAGCTGCAAGTTAAAAATTTTAGTTCTCCACTTGCTGTCCTTTAGCTGTGTGGGGATGCACACAGCACCCTTCCTGATGGAGGCACAGGCTTTGCAAGGGCTCCACAGCTGATAAACTGTGAAAAAACAGACAGCTATACTGCTCCTGCACTTCAAGCAATAATTTATGCATACATAACTTGAATGTTCTCACCCCTTCATCTATAGCTGGAAAATTCCTGATAAGTTTGCGGTCTAGAGCATTTGCTAGCTGTGCAGATTGAGCTGTGGTTTGGGGAGCTGGTGGAACGGAAGATGTTCACAGAACCCTGTCAGCCTCTAGGCCAACACTTTCAAAGCAAACCACAGAATGATGCTGCAAGAAGTATTAGAAGGGAATTTTACAGAAGTTACCTCTCTCTTGGCAATTTTCCTTCTTATACTTGGGCCCTGTACTTCTAGGCTGAACTACAGACTGCAACACAGTAAATACAGGAAGCATAAATAAATTCTGGTGCTGTATCAATTTTCTACTCTGAGATATCCTCATCAGATACGTCGGTTTGTAGACTTTGGTTGCAAAGACAATGTCTATGAAGTGTTCTGCCAGTGAAATAACTGGCATATCTGAAATATCTCTCAGAAGAACTTTATTCATTGGTCTTCTGCATGAAGTACGCCACAGATGCTGAGCAGTGGGGTTAGTAACAAATCGCTGTGGTCTTTGTAGAGCCAAGTATATAATTCATTTAATACTTTGTTTATTCCTTTAGAAATCGTGTATCAAAGTTCAGTAAGGAAAAATGACAATCGAAACTACCTAGATAGAGGATCTTTACAACCACTGCATAATCAACTGATATGTACTGCAGCTGCAAAGCTTTTGCAGTATCAGTGCTACAGCTACTGCTACAAACCACACAAACTAAAGCATGGTCCCTCCAGAGATAAAGACCAGTTAAATGAAAATAAGATCTGTCATGATTGTACCTCTGGCACAGCTCTGATGGAAAAAATATAGAAAGTCTGAGTACTTTCTGAGTTGGATGAATTTTTTGGAGAACAAGACACTGCTTGTTAGGCTTTTTTTTCCCAGATAAGGAGTAAATTTTAGGCTCAATTTGTGTCCATGACGGTGGAGTTTCAAAAGGTACGACAGACAAAAAGAGAAAAGCACAGGTCTAAGCGTTCTTGGCTTCATTACATTCTTGTGTTTGTTCATTTCAACTTTAATGGCATAAGCAAACTGATAAGATAATGAACTAGATCAAAGGGGAACAAATTTTGAAATCTTAAGAAAGCTCCAGTAATTTTGCATGCATTTGTTTCCTAGCATAACTCACCACCAAAGGCAGAAAGAGCAAGATGGTGTGGGGAAGTCCTGAACTCCTGAAATGCTGCATCTTGTTTCTAACATGGGGCAAATGAAGCACCTTATCTTTGCAGACACAAACAAGAAACTAGCACAGCAAACACTACAAAAAACATAAACATCAGCTGCTGTGTGATAGGAACAGAATATTTTGAGATATATTTTGGGTACATGGAATCTCAAAAATAAACCCATGGTATGACAAAATTACTATGAGTACTATAAGTTCATGAAGAAAAAAAAAACAAAACCTCTCTTACCTGCAATTGCTTCAAGACTAGGGATTGCAATAGTGCTGTAAGTGCTAATGCATTTACAGGACCATGTACGAACTAAGGTTTCCTCTGCATTTTCCAGACCTGGAAGTCTGTCCACGAAGAAAGAACCCCACTGCTCAGATACAGAGTAGGGAATTTTGGGCTGATATCCCTGAAATAAAAATGAGAAAACATGTAAGCTTAGAAAAAATATCTACATGCTTATGCAACCACAAGCATTAGTTTAAGAAGTCTCTAGTGTTTTTCTCATTTTCTGGGAAAACTCTATTTCATCTCAGGAACAACGTGGCTTAAAAATACTGTGAAAAAGAATAACAATCATACCCTAATAAGGCCCCTAACTTTGATTTAAACAATTTCCCTTGGAAGAAAAAGTTGCCTTTAACCTTTTCCCCAAATAAATCTGTCTGTTATTCTATTTCAGATAGTGGGACCAGCTTGCTGATTTTCTCTGCCACAGCATCTGAGCAGCACGATGCAGCCGGGAGTTTTTCCTACCAGACAGAAGCAACTCCACCAGCTGCTGAGCTGCAAAGGATGTAGTGTTTCACCTGTGCTACTTTATCTGCTTCTCAGCTGAATAATGAGAACAGAACCATGTAAACCACAGAGAGCGACTCAGTTGCATAACACTTATGAAAAAATTGATTTTTTCCATGTATGTTTTTCAGTCAACAATATACAAACTCATTAAAGCAGCATTGGGAAAACTGATCTTTTTTTTCTGCAGTTCATCTTGAAACCTGCTATATATTGCCATGAGCAGCCAGAAAAAGCTCCATGAGTCCTTTACAGAAAGATTAAAAAACGTAAACCAAAATTGCAAACTACACTGCAGAAAATCTGTTAAAGTCATTTGTGTGCAAAGTACATTTTCAGACGAACAAAGCACAGAACAGACATCTGGGTGCCTCCAGATTAGTAAACTTTTGTACTCTATTTTCCATTTAACTCCTTTCTTAATAGTTTTGAGAAAGCGCCAAAATAATTTATGTTTATGACAGAGATCCATGGCTTTTGACCACAACAAAGCTGTTGAACCAGCCAAACAAACCCCATCAGTAAACACAGAGCAATTGTTTCAGTGGTTCTGAGTAACAGTTCTTTCTCTGAGTGCAGCTGGGGGACAAGACAGGAGCTAATTTGGATAAATACAGACATTGATTTCTGTCTTCTGATGTAAACAGGTTGGAAAAACCCTTTATTTAGTATCAAAAATAGCAGTTTGCTGTTCAGGAACTGCATTCCCCCCCCCCCC